CTTACTGGATTCGCCTCCATCTTCTTATTACGTTTTCTTTTTGTTTTTTTACTGCATCATGGCCGGCATCATTACAGCTCGTAATCATCATATTTCCTAGCAATAATGCGCGCAACACAGTTAACACCTTACTGGATTCACCTCCATCTTCCCATTGCGTTTTCTTTTTATTTTTTTAGTGCATAATGGCCGGCATCCTTACAGCACATAATCATATTTTGAACTAAAATAAGTTCTGATGATTAAATTTCTACTTATTATATTATATATAATATATGGTGGTAGTTGTGTTTGGAATCCAAGGTGGTTTCACATGTATTAAAAAGAAAAAGAAAACATACTCCACTGCCGTTGGCTGGTCTTTTGAATTAAGGGTGTTTTACATCTAAATTCATATTTTATTATCTAAATTATATATTAAAAATACAGTTTATTTAATAAATTTATTAAAATACTTTTATAAAATAATATAAAAAATAATTTTATTAAAAATAATTTAATATACTTATAAAATACATTGTATTTTTTATATAAAATTTATTTTATTTTTTTCACAACTATTATATAACAATAATTAGATGCGAATGTCAAGAAATCTTTAAAATTTTTCATCCTCGAGAAGAAAAATGGATGTCGATCTCATCCCATCGACATTTTTAATTTATGTTGCTACAGCTTTTGTAAACAAGAGCGGGCACCAATTGCCCTACTGCCTCAGTAATTCACCTGCCCTTGATAACAACTTCTCCTAATTGCTCTTTCTTCACCCCCTCCCCTTTTTTTTTCTTTTTTACTGAATCGTGGCCGGCATTATTGGCTCTCTTAGTCAAATTTAGTTTCCTCTAAATTAAGTTAATTCAATTGGATTGATATTGATGTCCACTGAAAATATTAATTATTCAATTATAAAACGTTAAAACAGATTAAATATTAACTTTAGCCCCTTAATTTTAAATTTTTGCATAATTTTCATTTTTTAACTTTTTATGACTATTTTATCTCTCAACTATAAAAAAATATATTTTTTAATCATTTCATCAATTAATTTGTTAAGTGTCTAAATATACATATTTTTAATTTATTAACTTATTATATATGCATATTTTTTTATCTCTCAACTTATAATATATAAATATTTTTTATCCCTCAACTTCAACTTTGGAAACTAAAAATGTACACATTTGGATGGACTTAATAGATTAATTGATAAAAAGACTAAAATAATGCAATTCTAATGGTTGAGGGATCAAAAAAGTGTATAAAAAAGTTAAGGGACAAAACTTATATAAAACTTTAAAATTGAGAGATCAAAATTGACATTTAACCTTTGACAATAAAAATATTTTTAAATAGAGATTACATTTTTTTTATAATTTAATTACTTAAGTTATCAGAATACTATTAATGAATAAAGTTATTAAAAATATTTTAATAATTTCAATGTTTAAACTATAAAAAAAAAATATAATTTACACTAGCTAAAAATCACATTTATGAAACTGAAAACTAGCAAGTCCGTTTACTTTTTCCCCTATAGACAGACATAAAATATTTTTTTCTGGTATATCTAATTACTCCCTCCGGTGCCATTTTAATTTTTTTTCTTTTAGGCCATAGAAGTAACATACTCCGGTGCCCTTTTAATTTGTTTTCTGATTTTATATGGCGAAAGAAACTTTTTAGGTTAGCATAGAGACTCATGACATTTGCAGACTTTATTTACATGGTGTTTGATTAAAATGAATTTCACGTTGAATTGATTTCTAAATCTGTACTATTATATTTTAGTTTAATTTAAAAATTTTATTTTAATTTAATGGTTTTCATTCTATACCCTTATGTTTGGTTTGATTAAAAATTTGTATAATTGATTTGTATTTCTACAATTCTTATGTTTGGTTTAGTTAAAAACTAAGAGTTAAATTCCAAACTTCTAAATCATAGAATTAATTTAATTCAAATTTCATTCATTTTGACGGTAATTAGAAACAGACTCTATATTTTTGAAAATCTATCACTTTTCCTCATAGATAATAATGAGAGTATTTAAGAAAAAAATTTAATATTTACCATGGAATGCACAATAATGATCATGTTCCATATATAAAAAAGAACTGGAGGGAAGAGACAGGTATTGATGTGTTATAATTCATCAATTAACTTCACTCCAATATATATATATATATATATATATATATATAGTGATTAGTTTACAAGCTTAAGACTAGATTTGACATTGACAAAAGGAAAATTTATAATGCAGTGAGATTAAAAATTTCAATACATCTAATAATTATTATATAATAAATATGATAAAATTATGTATTATATTATACTTTATATATTTAATAGTTGTAATTAAATATTTTGATTTTCTTTTTTTGTAAGTTCTTGTGATTTATTTGAATAAAAATAAGATAATGATTAATTGACAACGAATTTGCAAATAGAAGAAATCTCCATCATCTAGCCATAGTTTCGTACAAAATATTTCTTGAAACCAAAATTTGAGTGAAAATATATATAGAATAAATCTTGAAGATAGATAATCTTTCGGCCAAAAATTATATTTTTAGATAGAAAAAAAAATGAAAGTTTATTGTTTAACGTAAATATTCAAAAAATTTATATTCTTAAATAAAAAAGGGATAAATTTGTATCTTTATTTCAACGTTTTCTCATAGTCCAAGAGGATAGTTGTTCTATATATTTGAAAACTATATTTAAATTTTAAAAATTGATTCGTGAGTTGTTGAATACATTCAAAGGAAAAAAAATCTTTGTATTAAAAATATTAAAATATTTATTTTTCCGTACATTCAATAACGACATCTTTCTGATTTTTCCAAGCAATAGTGTGCGCAACACTTAGAGATTCACCTCCATCTTCTAATTGCGTTTTCTTTTTATTTTTTTACTGCATCATGGCGGCCATCATTGCAGCACATAATCATAATTTGAACTAAAACATGTTCGGATGATTAAATTTCTACTTATTATATTATATATAATATATGGTGGTGGTTGTTGCAATCCAAGGTGATTTCACACGTATTAGAAAAATATGAAAAACTACTTTACAGTTGTCTTTTGAAGTATTATAAGATGAGAACCACTACAGAAAATTCACATGTAGTGACAAAATTATTGATTATTAAATTTTTATTTTTTTTATAAATTATTATTAGTAATAAAATTTAAATAGTTAGTAAAACTTTTATCATTAATGCTTTTAGTGACAAATTAGGCATATGTCACAAAAAATAATTTTATAGTGATAGAAAAAATTGATATTGTTAACGAATTATTTATAACAATTTTATTCGTCACAAAAAAATATTCGT